AAATGGGAGAGTATCTACCTAGCAAGAGTGAGGCCCTGAGTTCCATACCACCAAAGAAATTACTGAAAATTTACTGTTTACATTAAATATATGTGCAATTGTTTTAAAAAAGTAAAGTCAACATGTACTTATCAAAGTAAGCTTATCTATGTATATATATTCTCATTCAAAATAATCTTATATATGTATGTATCATATAGCATATAGCATATATATTATATTATATATATATATAGTCAAGTATTCATTTACCCCTCTCTAAATGCTTGCAATTTGCTCTCTATAAACAAAGATTGGCAAGCTTAATGCTGACATCAGATGACATTTAGTAAGCATTTTATTAAAGTCCTGTGGATTAGTGCTTGTTTTAACATTTCCAAGAGCACAAAGCCCCCTCATGAGCTCTGGCGAGGATAGTGCTTATCCTGACAGCTCTGAGGATGTACCAGCCAGCAATGGAGAGCTGTTACTTTTCTTCCCCATTTGTTGCCAAGGAAGATAAAGAGAGGCAGAAGGTACCCAAATCCTATCATCTTTTGGTTTACTCAGTGGTTAAAACATGGCGAATTCTCCCTGAGATGACTGAAATCATCATTTAAACAAAGAGTCCATTTTCCTGACATTTGTGTTTTTTTAAGGTCGGGTGGATGACGTGGCCTGTCACTTTGAGCAGGAGTATACAACAGTTCTAGAAGGTTGCTGGTTGCCCAAGGACCTTCCTCCTCTACAGAAACACCACTGCAGGCATCGTGCAATCTACTGGTACTTGTAGAAATGCAGTTTCTCCCCTTCCTTCTCTGTCTCTTCTTCCTCTTCCTTCTCTTCTTCCTATCCTTCTTCTTATTAGTGATACTGGGGTTTCAACTCAGGGCCTTGTGTTTGCTAAGGAGGTGCTCTACCACTTGAGCCATACCTTTTTTCTTGCTTTAGTTATTTTCTGGATAAGGTCTTGTGTATTTGAGAGATCAGGCTGGCCTCAAACCCTGATCCTCTAATCCCTGTCTCTCCCAAGTAGTTGGGGTGAGCATGTGCCAGTCACTGTGCTTCGCAAAACCTGCTCCTCTGATTAAAATTCAGATCTCTGGGACGGGTACTGCTGTGACACTCCATGAGACAGGTCTTCCTGATGGCCTCACAGGGACAATGTCAACGTGTGCTTCCGCTCTAGCCTCCAACTATAGGTGCCATCAGCAGCTGCATTCTGCAGAAATGTGCAAAGAGGGCAGGAATAGTGGCCTTCCCCTTGATTCTCATGTTTCTTCCTGTCAGCCAACAAGAGGAACACAAGGCAGAAATTCTGTGTGTGTGTGTGTGTGTGTGTGTGTGTGTGTGTGTGTGTGTGTCTTGGGGCTTGAATTCAGAGCCTGAGTGCTGATCCTTAGCTTTTTCACTCAAGCATGGTACTCTGCCACTTGAGCCACAGTTCCACTTCCAGCTTTTTTTGCTGATTAATTGGAGATGAGAGTCTCATGGCCTTCCCTGCTAAGGTTGGCTTTGAACTGCAGTCCTCAGATCTCAGCCTCCTGAATAGTTAGGATTACAGGCATCAGCAACCTCTCCCAGCCTCCCCACTGTGTTTCTTATTATAAATATGCTGCCTATGACCTCATTTCCTGCATAGGCTCCGCCTGCAAATGCACTCATCACCTTCAGGCTTCAAAGTAAAAATATTGGCAGGGTGCAAAACAGTCTTTAACGACAGTGACATATTTTCTCCAGCATTTCCACCCCTCCCCAATGTTGTCTTAATCTCTCTTCCTTCAGTTCTACAGTAACCTTTCTTTTTCTTCGGAAAATGTTCTACATATAACACCTGAATGATACGTTTTTAAGGTGTCTGTTAAAATAGCCATAATGGCTTAATCTTGAAATGCATTTAAGGGTTTATTCATGCAGAGCCTTTCTCCTTGTCATTAGAGCTGTTTACCACGAAGCAATGATCCAGTCCATGTAGCTCCACAGTCTACCCTAATGGCAGCAGCGGCTCTGAGTGGAAAGGGAAGGGAAGGGGGAGGAAAGGGCCTCCAGCCATTTGCAAAGAGGCTGGGAGCTGGGGATGGGTGTGTGGAATTGGGCATGGAGATATAGCACCTCTTGTAGTCTGGCCGGGTAGGTTGCTGGGGGCCTGCTGGTTTTGGATGCCAGGGACTCTCTGGCATCGAGATAGCATTAGGAAGACAAAAACCCAACTCCTGGGGAGAGATTGCAGCTGCTATACCCAAAGTAAAAAATACCCAGACACCTCAAACTAAATGAAATAACAACCAAACATCCAGCAAGACTAAATGGTCGAATTGCCAGATGCTGATGGCTCCTGCCTGTCATCCTAGCTACTCAGGAGGCTGAGATCTGAGGACCATGGTTCAACGTCAAACTAGGCAGGAAAGTCTGTGAGACTCTTATCTCCAATGAACCACCAGAAAACTGGAAGTGGAGCTGTGGCTCAACGTGGTAGAGCGCTAGCCCTGAGCAGAAAAGTTTAGGGACAGCACCAGGCCCTGAGTTCAAGCCCCATGATCGACCAAAAAGAAATAGACTTGTCAAACCGAACACTGGCTCAGGATCTGTAGGAGAAGCAAGTAGCTCTGTTGAAGTGATCATGGCCACAATATCCTAACCAGCGTTGTGAAGAGAATTGGAAGGTGTGGGAGTTTTTCTGTTTTTCAATTTAATTTCCAGTATTTAGTGACCTATTGTTTTTCCTGTCAAATACTGGCTACATGAGTCCAAAGTATGGGTTCTCAGTACTAGTTAGTCTGACTTGATGTGTGCGTGTGAGCCCCAAGATCAGAGGAGGAGACAAAGGGGCCAGGAAAGGTTGGCACCTCTTGCCCATGTGCTCACCAGGCACTCGAGCGACCACAACAGATGATGGGAAGGCGTTCTGCATCAGCCCAGGGCCAAGGCCAAGTTCACCGCAGAAACCCACCCACAGCTGCTACTGCTGCCCCAGTGGGCTCTGCACACAAGGGCTCTACAGCTCAGCCTGCTCTCCCTCTTCTCTCCCTCCCTCCCCCTCCTTCCCTTTCTCTCTCCTTCCTTCCCTCCCTTCCCCCTACTTTTTATCCTTCCTTTTTTCTTTTCCCCCTTCCTACCTTCCTTCCCTTTTACCTTTCTATCTTTTTCCTCCCTCCCTCCTTCCTTCTTCCATTTTTCCTCCATCCCTTCTTTCTTTTCTTCCTCTTTTCCTCTTTCCTTCCTTCCCTCCTTTCTCTTTTATCTCCTTCCTTCCTTTTTTCTCCCCTCCCTCCTCCTCCCTCCCTCCCTCCCTTCTTCCCTCCCTCCTTCCCCTCCTTCCCTCCTTCCCTCCCTCCCTCCATTCCTCCTTCC